CCCCTCGGAGCGCACCTCGCAGCTGTAATCCCCCGAGTGCGAGACCCCCGCGGCGGGCACCAGGAGCCACGGGGACCCCTGCGGTTCCCCCAGCACCCGCCCGTCCCGGTAGAAGAGGTGCAGGAGGGGGGCTCGGGGCCGCAGGGGGCTGGGGGTGCTGAGGCAGCTGAGATTCAGGGGGGACCCCTCGGTGAGCTCGGGGGGAGCCTCCAGCACCGGCACCGGGAACAGCTCTGGGGATGAGAAGAGGGGACAGTCCCCAGCCTGGGGAAGGGGTGTGGGAGTCTTTGGTGTCGGGGAGGGACAGGGTGGCACTTACCCTTCACTGTCACTGTCACCGGTGCTGACTTCTTCGACCACTCCCGCAGCGCGTAGCTCACCCAGCCCCCGCAGCTGTAGCGGCCGCTGTGGTGCAGCTGCAGGGCAGGCGGGGACAGCTCTGTCCCCTTGATGACCCCCGATAGTTCATCCTTCTCCCGGTAAAATCGCACCATGCTGACCGATTTGTTGTTCCAGCCCCGACAGCGCAGTGTCACCGTGTCCCCTTCCAGCAGGTCCCGCGCTGGCACCTGCAGCACCAGCCAGTCTGGGGGACAGTGGGGACCTGTCACGCTGGAAGGGTCTGGGAGGTCCCAATATCACCGGGACCCCCCTTTGGGTCACGCAGCCAATTCCAACAGGGGGGTCCCATCGCACTGGGCTGCTCTGGGATGTCCCCGTGAGCAGGGAATCGGCTGTCGTCACACGAGGGGTGTGACCCCAAAAGCTGAGCCCACCCAGAGCCCTCGGGGTCCCCGCGGGTGACAAGGTGGGGACACCCAACCCCCCCTCACCGTCTGAGACGCTCACGGGGGCGCTGAGCCCAGAGCCGGGTCTGTGACACCGGTAGGTGCCAGTCTGGGTGACAGTGATGCGGTCACGTCCCTTCATGTACCAGTACTTCCCATCCTTGCGCCAGATGGTGTCACCAGAAGTCCCCGACCCCTGGCAGGTCAGTGTCACCCGGTCCCACCGCACCGCCGGTGTCCAGGGGGGCTCCACGAGGATCTGGGTGCTCTGGGAGCCTGCGGGTGACAGGGGACAGCAGCCTGGCAGGGCCACCGCAGGGTGGGGACAGCAGGGTGGGGACACGGCATCCCCTGAGGACTCACCAGCGAGGCCGAGGGTCTGGGCTGGAAGGGAGAAGGGACAGGGCTGGCTGGGGGTGGCACTGTGGGGACAGCGGCACCCGGGGGACAGGGTGTGGGGGCTGTCCTCAAACTGTCCCTGTGGGGACACTGGGGTGGCACAGAGATCTCATCTGGGGATGGGGACCCAGAGGCCACCCCAGGCTGAGGCAGGACATGGGGACACTGCAAACCCCCCCATGGTGACACCATGGCCACCCCGTGCTGACACCCGTCACCCCCACCAGCCCCACAGCCCCTGTCCCCACGGCCACCCCACAGCCTCGGTCACACTGTGGGGCCACTGGCTCTGTCCCCCACTGGCTCTGCTGGCCTTGGGGACATCAGGGGACCTCGCAACCCCCTCGGTGTCCCCTCCCCACCGGTCCCTGCCTCACTCACCCCACAGGAGCAGCGCCACCTTCCCGGCCATCCCGGTGTCCCCGGCCATCGCAGTGTCCCCGGACAGCCCGSCTGGCTGTCCCACGGTGCCAGGGCCACCTGTMCCCAGCGCGGTGGCTCTCGGAGTGGCTGTCCCACGGTGCCGGGGCCACCTGTCCCCAGCGCGTGGCTCTCGAGATAAAGGGGAAGGAAGAGGATTTACATCTCATCCCCGCGGGGTGGTGGCACCGGGTGGGGGCTGGGTGACAGCGGGGTGGGGACAGCCTGGGGACACGGGGTGGCACTGCRGGGAYACGGTGGGGACACAGCAGGAACATACTGGGACATGGTGGSACATGGTGGGGACAYAGCAGGGACATGGTGGCGACATGGTGGGACACTGGGGACACARCAGGGACAATGGCGGTCCCAGGAGTGGGGGGCTCAGGGAATTGGGGGGTCCAGGAATGGGGGTCCGCATGGGTGGGGGGTCCCAAGGGACCGTTGTCCCCTCTGTCCCTGTGTCCCCTCCCCAGGGCTGTGACACAAAAGCCCCTTCAGGTGAGCAGGAAGGGCTCTGCTGACCCCCTCCCCCATTTTTTGGGATTCCCCAAATCTCCTCCATCCCCCCACTCCTTTTTTGGGGGGTTCCCCAACGCTCTCCTTTTTCGGGGTTCCCCAAACCTTCCCCTCCCCCAGTTTGGCTTTTTTTCCTCTCTTTATTTCCCTTTTCTGTCACCGGGGAGGGGCCTCTCATGGGAGGCGACACCAGGGGAYAGTTCAGGGGGGGTGAGGAGGGTGACATGGCCCGGGTGGGGGTCCCTGTCCCTGTCCCCCCCCCGTAGTGACACGACGGCGGTCGCCACCGTGATGGGGGAGGGGTGAGCTCGGGGATGTCACCATGGAGAAGTCGGTGACAGTGCCAGCACCGGTGACAGTGACAGCAGCAGTGCCACTTCTGCCCGTGGCACCCCAAGCCCCCTGGACCCCTGGGACCCCTTTGGCCCTGGAGGTGACACCCCTGAGCCCCAGCAATGACCCCCAGGGACCCCTCCCCAAGTCCCACATCCCCCAGGCCTGGTGCTGACCCCCAACCCAATGCTGGGGCCCCTCTGCTGCCTTGTGTCAGTGTGACGTCACACACGTGATTTCACAGTCATGACGTCATGCCAGTGACATCACCACACAGAATCCCCTTCCTGTTTCCATGTAAACTGTCCCCCATTTCCGTGACAACAGTCCCCCGTTCCAATGTCAACGACTCGCTGTCCCCACCCTCTCAGTCCCCGTTGCCATGGCAACAACACCCCCGTTCCCACACCCACGGCCCCCACGTTCCCATGGCAGCCCCCCCTTTTCATGCCCACACCCCAATTTCCACGGTAACACCCCCCCGTTCCCATGGTAACAACCCCCCGATCCCAAAGCACCCGTAACCCCCAATCCCACCGTAACAACCCCTCCGTTCCCATGGTAACAGCCCCCCCTTCCCATGACAACAGCCCCCGTTCCCATGGCAACACCCCCGTTCCCACGCCCACAGCGCATGCGCCGCGCCCTCCCCTCCTCCCCCCTTCCCGGGACTACATTTCCCATCACCCCCCGCGGCCCGGGCCGTTCTAACGGCGTTCGGCCGCTCCGCGGACTCCATTTCCCATCGCGCCCCGCGGCGCGGTGGGCGGGGGTGGCCGCGTCCCTACGGCGGCCGGCGCGGGCCCGGTCTCGTGACGCGCGCCGTGCGCGGAGGCCAAGATGGCGGACGAGGAGGGCGAAGCGCGGCCGGGGGCGCGGAACGGGGCCGGGGAGGGTCCCCCGGGCGGGCCCCGCGTCGTCCGCATCGTCAAGTCCGAGTCCGGCTACGGCTTCAACGTCCGCGGCCAAGTGAGCGAGGGCGGGCAGCTGCGCAGCATCAACGGCGAGCTGTACGCGCCGCTGCAGCACGTCAGCGCCGTGCTGGGCGGAGGGGCCGCCGACCGCGCCGGGGTGCGCAAGGGGGACCGCATCCTGGAGGTGTGAGTACGGGGGGGCCGCCCACCCACAGCCCCCCGGCACCCGGCCCCGGGAACGCCCCCCACACGCGCGGACACGCCCGGGGAAGGGGGGGAATGGGGGGAATGGGGGTCCTCAGGGGGCTCTGAGGGGTTGGGGGGCGATGAGGGGGTGATGAGGGGTCTTTGGGGAGGTTTGGAGGGGTTCTGAGGGGGCTGAGGGTCGCTTGGTGAGGCTGTCATGAGGGGGAGGGTGAAACTCCCGGCTCTTGGTGAGGTTTGAGGGGGCTCTGAGGGGTCTTAGGTGAAATTTGTGGGGTCCTGAGGGGGCTTTGAGGGGTCCTTGGTGATATTTGGGGCGTCCTGAGGGGGCTGAGGGTCTCTTGGTGAGGGTGTCATGAGGGGGAGGGTGACATTCCCGGCTCTTGGTGGGAATTTGGGGGG